ACTTTCTTCAAGCACATTCTGTTCAAATTATATAATTTCTATTGATTTTCCTTTAAACTCACTGATTCCTTCTAATGCCATATCCCTGCTGTTAAGCTTATTCAATTAATATTACATTTTAGCTACTATACTTTCAGCTCTAGAATTTTCATTTTGTTCTCTTGTCTTTCTAGTTTTTATTTCTCCCCATCTGTTCAGTCATTATGCATTTATTTTCCCTTAAGTCCATGAGCATTTGTAATAGCTGCTTTAAAGTCCTTTTCTGTTGGTTGTGATTTCTAGGCCACCTCTGGGGTGTGTTTTCACTGAATGCTCTTTTATTTCACTGACTTTGTATCACATTTTTCTGTTTCTTCACGTATCTAGTGATTTTTAAAATTAGATAATAGGCATTCTGAATGATATGTTATAGAGGCTCTGAATTCTGTTGTGATCCAGTGACGATTCATTCTAGCAGGCAGTTAACTTGGCTAAAATCAAATAAAAAATACGTACTCCCTGTGATGGACAATAGCTGAAAACTCTGCTCAGTTATTCAAGTTTCATGCTGCAGCTTCCCCCTCTGCTGGGGCCAGGAGTTCTGCATAGTTTCACCTTCAGTTAGGATTTGGGAAAATTTCATATGTAGGCTGGGAAAGGTGAGAGCTCACTTTCTCTGTGACTTTCCCCTTTCCAGAATTTCTTCCCCAATTTCCTGGCTATTCCACCAGCTCAAAACTCTGACCTCTTATACGTCATCAGTATGTCTAAACCCAAAACAATCTGGAAAATACCTTCAAGGAAAGGTTACAAACCTGAAATCACATCCCCTGTTGTTCATTTTCAAAGGCAGACATCCCTTTGTGTTTATGCCTGGTTTGGGTTACTTCCCGGTGCCTCCAAACAGTGTTTTTTATTTTTACCATATTTTAAAATTGTTATCTGGATCAGTGTCTCTGTTTTTGAAATAAGGTACTCTAATGCTTACCATGTTGGGGATATATCGGAAGATCAAGGGAAACAACTTAATGTTCGTATTATCTATTTCTCCATCTTATAAATGCAATCACCACATTCAGTCTTAATGATCCACTTGCAATACTGCACCATCTTGGATCCATTTTCAACCACCAATCATTGACAAGAAACAAAACAACTTTTCTGAAAGATAGTCATTTGGCCAGTAATAAAAATTCAACAGTGGATAATTAACTACATTCTGAAGAGCCCATTTTCCCAATACCATTACCAGCGGCTCAAATGATCTAAAAGACCAGGTCAGTCTAAAGATGTATTCCTTCAATTTAGTTTTGTTCTTCATAAGATACTTATTTAAATTCACACTATTCTTTGTATTGGTTCTTTCATATCTTATCATACTTTTGATTCAATTTCTCTGTTGTCTTCTTTTGTCCTCCCTCAAAGGAGGACAAAAACCTCCCAAACCTTTAAACACCCTGGTAACACCTTCACTAGACATTCCTTCCATCTTTCCTTCAGCATTTACATGTCCTGATCTGTGCTATGTCTATATTCATCTTAAAGCATTAAACAGTAGTTAGTATAGAAATGACAGAGAATATGGCAGGGTTAATATCTTTCTTCATTTGGACATTATATTTCAAGTAGTAGATTATACATTTTATAAGTTTTTATAATAGCCACCTTCCAGTTACTTTACATTAAGCTTGAAGTCAACTGGAAGTTGGGCAGCAACGAATTAACCCATCATTTGCTGTATGTGCCCATGATGAAAAATTTCCAGAACTGGTACAAACTTTGGAAGGTGTTTAATATAGACCCTAGCCTTGGGTAGTTGAAACTAAATGAGGCAAAATAAAAAACAGTTTTAATTTTTCTGTTCTTACCAAAGTAGCAAGTTAATGATTTACTAGGGAATACATGTGTTTTTTATCTCAAGTGTTTTAAGTTTCCTCCATTTACTAGTGCATTCTACAGAAGTTGACCAAGAAGTCTTGTTTCCACACCACAGGCTTATAAAATATCTCCTTTTAAAAGAGCTGACTCACACCTTCTCACTGAGGCATTTCCTGGCCAACAGACCTAAAATTTCTACCACCACTGTCAACACATTTCATTTCCCTTTTATTTTTTTTCCTCCGTAACACTGACCACACATCTCATGAGCTGTATAGTTTACTTACTTTATCTTCTTTCTTGTCTAATTCCCTTACTAGAAGGTAAGCTCCACGAGGGCAGGGAA